GGACGTAGTCAGGCTGATGATGATGATGATAATGATATATATAAATATATATATATATATATATATATATATATATATATATATATATATATATATATATATATATATATATATATATATATATATATATATATTTAACGAGCCGATAGACTGATGTAGCAAGAAGGGAGAAAGAAAACTGAGGAAGAGGTAAAGTAAATGAAAGGAATTGGGGTAGGCCACCAGCATTGTTGCTTCCACAGTCTTTTCGTGTGAGCCAGTAAAATCTGCTTTTTTTTTCTTAAGCTCAGCAATAACGATCGTTTATATATTAATGCTATACAATTCGCATTTCTTCGCACAGTGCTAAAGCGCCCGAAGTGGTCTAGCTTGTAATTGTTACAAAGGGAAGCGACAATAAAATGCATCATGAAACTAGGATTGCATTCTGTTGATAAGCCTGCCTTTTTTTTAAACTGTTCACCGTACAGGTAGGTGAACACACTAAATGTTCATATTAAAATATTGATCACAGATGGTAGGGTTACATTCTTGGTGCTGAGGTGTACGTGACGAACTACTGGAGGAACAGCTGAGTTTTAGTGCCGGAAAGCAACACAGTAACACAATATTTACCTACGGCATTTGTTTTTTCACTTATGGTATACAACAACATAAATCACTCCAAACATTTTTTTTTTCAGTTAGCTTGCCTTTATTAATACATCTCGGCAACCTGGTTTTACATTTATCAACGAAAAAGTTTCCCTCTTTACACTTTTGTGACGCCCCCTCGAGAGGTACAAACTGACAAAAATATTACCCAGCGTTTTGCATTTAGATAGCTCTTGTTTTCTTTCCGTTTTTTTTGCCTGCGTTTTTGTTATTTAAGCAGGCGTCACCATGGGCAGAAAACGATCACTGTACCGTGTAGAGGGACCCGTGAAAGACACACTACGCGACAACCTTCCCTCGCTGGTCACCCCACTGGCAGAAAAATAGTTGAAGCCAGCCAAGCGCATTGTCATCCTATATGTGCCGGGCGCCAGTGAAGAGCTCTCCGCGATTCTCGGAAAATCAGGGGTCGAGGTGGTTCGACGAAGTGACTCTTGAAAAGGGAAAAGAAGAGAAAAGTGAGCACCGTTATTGTCTGCTTCAGTGAGCGACACCGCCACAGTAGCTCACGAGGGATGGGGGTGAGGAGGGATAAAAAAGGATAGGAGTAAAGATGTAGGAAAGCCGAAGAAGGAGAAGAGAGGAAGAGACGTGAGGTGGTGAGCCAGAGCGAGCGACGACAAGATGAGGGGATAGAAGAGATAGGAAAGATGAAGCACGGTCACTGGAGTCCGAGGACGGGGCGCACCTGCGAGAGCTCCTTTCGGCGTCGGTGGATGGCGTAGAGCAAGTCCAGTAAGTCAGAGCTGCACTGTCGTCGGAGGTGGAAGGTCGTCGGCGGCAGGAGGTGACGTAGGGCGAGCCCAGTCGGCCAGAGCCACGCTGACGCCGGAGGTCGCAAGCGCGCGGAGCGCGCGAGCACACGACCGGTCGGCCCGAAATCCAGCAAGCGAGCAGTAAGAGGCTGGAAACCTTCTTTATGCCTCAAGAGCGTGTTTCGGCATCGTCGAAGTATATAGCCATGGGTAGTGCAGTGGCTAATCGAAGCAAGAACGCGATGCTTCAGGAGTGCAGCGATGCTATCGGAGAGGGCCCAGCTAATGACTCTATCAGCGTTAACAAAGATAATTTGGCCCGGCAGTCCGTCGTGACACCGAGTTCAAAATATTTGAGCGTGGGGAAAAATGTAGCACAAGCTCCAACGAGCTTCCCAACCCCTCAGTTCCCGACGCGACATGACCCGCTTGCTACCACGGCCGAAGGAAGAAGCAACACCAGCGAGTAGCCTGCAAGTTGCCGTGTTCAGAGTGTCCAGCCAGCTACGTGGGCAAAAGCGAATGTTTGCATTCAGAAAGCCCGTGGAGCGGCCGAAAGGCTTGGACTGGCGTTCCTGACGAGGGAGTCAGCCGCTGAGCGCTAACGTGCGCCTTGCCGGGCAGCAATAAACTTCCGCTCCCACTCGTTAAGATTACGCCAACTTAAGAACGACGTCAGGAAGGCAGAAGTGCAACGCGGCGCTTTTGCAGAGAGCTTGAGCAGCCCGACCATATGATCGATTTCTACAGCTTTTCTTATATAGAAACAGAAAGGAATTTCGGAAGGAGGTCCTTGCGCGAGTCCTGACACATTTACAACACGCCAACAAACTTGAACCGCTATCTAGGAACAATCTCCTCTGTATACGTTCACGGCTTCAGAAACGTGTAGGAAATGGAGAAACACAGTTTTGGCAAAACAAGACACGGATATGTTTTGTGACAAACACAGACAGATCCTGAGGAAGTACCAAGTCGTTCCTCACACCCCCGGCCCTCTACGAACTTCCCAACTTCTTAAATCTTCCACCGAGCCCGACAGATTTCTGCCAAAATGCTTACATTTAAGCTTATAGAATTCACACTCCACAAATTAACGACCTCCAAAAAAAGCAAAAATAAACAAAATTGTAGTGTGTAGTGCTGGCTGCTAAAATGTTGCTGTTGATTTAGAAATATTTACTTAAACGTCGTATATATATATATATATATATATATATATATATATATATATATGTGTGTGTGTGTGTGTGTGTGTGTGTGTGTGTGTGTGTGTGTGTGTGTGTGTGTGTGTGTGTGTGTGTGTGTGTGTGTGTGTGTGTGTGTGTGTGTGTGTGTGTGTGTGTGTGTGTGTGTGTGTGTGTGTGTGTGTGTGTGTGTGTGTGTGTGTGTGTGTGTGTGTGTGTGTGTGTGTGTGTGTGTGTGTGTGTGTGTGTGTGTGTGTGTGTGTGTGTGTGTGTGTGTGTCAATATCTGCATGTGTTTTGCTTTGCTAATAAGCACCTGAAGTAGCAGATTTATACTTTGTGTAATTGAGTTACTGCTTTGGTCTGCGTTCGTGCCATCGTCATTCATGGAGCGTGCTTGTCTTGGAAGTTGATACCACGAAGAAATAAGTGAACGAATTCAAGCACACCCGCCTGGGTTTCTGTAAATTGGCTAACTTTGGCAACGTTGGTCGATCTGAAAGCGCGGAGATACTTTTGTAGCACCCGAAAAGCTAAAGCATTACAAAAAAATCTGGTGGGGGTCAGTACCCCCTCATTCACATATAGTTACCATCCTGAACGTCACCGAAGTGCACGTTGAAGGCATTGAGGCATCTACTAGAGCACTGTGTGCTTAGTAAAACTCTTGGCACACACAGAATATCCTAAATGTGAAGGTGTTATCGCTCAGCGTGGGAACTATGTAAACTTCTTTTATCGACATTGTCCAAGTCCCGTCGCTCTGAGGCTGTGCTTCTGAATCATGGTGCAGTGTATAATACTGAGCAAACACTTGTACTCGAGCAAATATAGGAATAGACGGCAGTGATGTCGTCAATCGTATGTTTTCATGAGTCTTTCTGTCGTCGGAGTTTTATAGCTGCCACCACAAACCGAATCACAGTAACCAAACTTGTAGTCAATTTGTAATAATCCAATTGGTACTCAATTCGTAGTCAATTTGTAGAATTGAGTCATGTAAAATACTCCGAAAATATTGAGCCTGTAATAAATTCCGAGAAAAGTGAAATATTCCTGTCATTGATAGAGTGGTGGCCTATAGCAAGAAACATACCTGCAAAATACGACGCAGTTCATTTGTAATCAAACATATATGCTGCAAATCAATCTTATGATATATTTTGTAATGTGTCTACAAATATAAACATCTTTGGATACTTATTGTGTGCTCTTCATGAATCAATAAGAAATAAGTTTCTTTAATAACACAAACACCTCAATATAATGTGTGAAACGCATGTGCATGTCCCGATTAAAATGTAAAAAAATATGCTGTGCAAATCTGCAAACTTTACCTACAAACGAATGCAGATGTCAAGATCATAACAATACAAGGTACGTATACGCATGCACAATATAATGTTATATTCACTGTGGAGATAATCAAAACAAAGAACGAAAAATGAAATAATTACATTGAAAGTACTGTTGTTTTTTGTCCTTATCAAGCCTCAACACTTTTCTTGGTGTGAAAAAGATCCTATCACCGTTTCGGGACGATAAATTAATAAAGCTACATCTTTCAGTTCTCTCAAGCATAGAACCATGGTAGTGCTATGAACACCTCATTACTATCAAAACTAACTACAGCTGCGAAAATTGTACGGACGCCTGGCCTAGGCAGGAGTGCGTGGATGCATGTGTTTATGTACGCGCACACATACAAACTACATGTATGAACATAATGAAGTATGGTTAAACACCTGCTCCCCCTTCCCTCTAGTAAAAAAGTTTCGTACATTGTGCTGCCCCAGAAAAATTGAAAAAATCAACATATAAAGAAACACGAATATTTACATATAAGCAGACGCTTACAGCCATGACGTAAGTACGAATAGGATGAAAGAAAGTGTCATCAGCAATACTCATATTCGTAGTAGCCTATGCTACGTAAAAGTTTATTACGTGCTTTTAAACGACCCCATAACCACAGTATTCCTCAAGAAAAGCAAGAAAATCATGATCGGTAATGCGCTCAGTAAGAGTTAGAATCTCTTGTATAGGATTCGCGGCACTTTCATAATATTAAAGAAGTAGAACTAAAACAAAATAATAAGGCTTAACGTATAATATCTTTGTTATTTAAGTTCTGCGGACAATATTACGCTTTTTAGTAATGCCGGCGATGATTCACGAAAAAAAATAATTTGGAGATGTAAAAGAAATACACGTTAAAGTATTAGGGGCCCGAAAGAAAACAAACTTGTAACTCAGGCGCGTGCAGCTAAGCAGCAAGGACGATGGTCAGGCAGTCAACGAACCGCGTTTATTGTCCGCAGCATGGTTATATACATTAGCATTAGGAGAGGGTGAAGGGAGGGGGGAAAGGGAGAATAAAGGCGCACCGGGCCCAAACGAAATGGTGCGCGCGCAGCTGGTTTTGCTGGCGTTACAAACGAAACAAATACAACATTTTTTCCTCTTAAAAGTGGAACCGTTGTACCGGGTTCCTAACTCTTGTCGATCGCCTCAGTGTTGGCTGGTGCAGGACCACCTCGGGCGAGGGTTCGTCCGTAGCGACTGGAGGCTCCGTTGCAGCTGGTGGGGAAAACTCACTCCGACCATCCGCGGCCGGCAGCTCTGGGCTTCGCTCTTGCTCATTCCGCCTGGACGTGCGTTGCAACGCAGGAGACGGGACAGGAGTAGTCACGCTGGCAGGTTCAGCTTCAGCGTCCGCGCCTTCAGTCGCTCCCGCAGTTGCAGACTCCGGCGTCGATTCCCGGCGGCGGCGGACTTGGTCGATATGACGCTGCACTAACCCTCTTGGTGTGTCCACTGCTATCATTCTCGCCCCCGACGCAGCTTTTACGCGTCCAGGCGTCCATCTTTTACCGGCACCGTAGTTGCGCACGTAAACGCTGCTTCCTGGCGAGATGGTTCAATCGTCAGCACCCGCCGACCAGTTCTCATCCCTGGGCGGCAGGCAGGTGTCAAGACGGGACCGCAGCTGGTAACCGAGAAGCATCTCCGAGGGTGACTTTCCTTCTTTTTGCGGGGTCCTCCTGTAATGGAATAGCAGGCGCATGATGTTATCTTCTAGTGAGCCATCTTGCATTTTCCGCAAGCCATCCTTAAGAGGTCGCACTGCTCTTTCCGCTGCTCCATTCGACTGAGGATGGAAAGGCGCTGTACGCAAGTGCACAATATTGTTTCTTGCTAAAAATGTGGCAAACTCCTGGCTCGTAAATTGTGTGCCATTATCGGACACGATTGTGCGTGGCACTCCGAACCGACAAAACAGACTTCGTAAGCAGCGAATAGTACCCGCTGTGTTCGCATGCATCATAGCTAAGTATTGCTTCAATCCACTTAGTGTGAGCATCTACCACCACAAGTATCATTTTGCCGGCTATTGGGCCCGCAAAATCGATGTGAATTCGAGACCACCTCTCGGCCGTTTTCGGCCAACTCACCGGTGGTGCTGCCGCAGGCATGGGCAGGTTTTCTACACAGCTTACACACTGCGCCGACAATTCCTGAATCACCCTGTCCATCCCTGGCCACCAAAACAGTGACCGTGCCACCGCTTTCATTGACGAGGAGCCTTGGTGTGTTTCATGTAGCAGCTGCAACATCCTTTCCTGCGCCTTCCGTGGTATGACGACTCTGTTGCCCCAATAGATTAGCCGGTGAGCCATCGACAGCTCCATTTTGCGATCAAAAAAGGGCAGCAAGTCGGGCGCCATTCCACTTGTTGTTCGAGGCCAGCCATGCAAGATGTATTCCGCCACACGGGCTAACAACGAGTCCTTGGCAGTGAGCTCCTGCAACTCGTGCGTCGTCACTATACCTTCGTCCAGGGCCTCCAACGACTGGACGTACTCGGGAGGCTCCCCTTCGGCTACTGGTTCCGCTGCCGCCGGGGCTGGTAGTCTGCTGAGGGCATCTGCTGTCAGGAGTTGTTTCCCCGGAACGTACTGTAGCTTGTAGTGGTAGCCTCCTAGGAACAGTGCCCACCGTTGAATGCGCGCGGCGGCCATCGGCGGCGTTTGGCGGTCAGGCTTGAGCAGTCCCAGCAGTGGCTGATAGTCGGTTACCAGGGTGAATTGCCGACCTAGGAGGTAGTCACGAAAACGAGAAACGCCAAAAATCAGTGCCAAGGCTTCTCGCTCCAGCTGAGAGTAGTTTCGCTCCGCTTTTGTTAACGTTCTGGAGCGAAAACCGATTGGTCTGTGCTCATTTCCCACCGAGTGAAACAGAACAGCACCCACGCCATACGGGGAAGCATCACATTCTAGCTTCAGTTCCCTGTTGGGATCAAAATGAACGAGAAGCTGCGCATTCTTCAACATTTCTTTCGCTTTCTCGAACGCTGACTGCTGCGGTTCCCGCCATTCCCAACGGGCTCGTTTTTCCATGAGCTGATACAAGGGGCTGAGCACAGTCGACATGTTGGGCAGGAAACGTGCGTAGAACGTGAGCATGCCAAGGAACGAGCGCAATTCGCTAACGTTACGCGGGCGCGGGGCTTGCATGATGGCGTCTACGTTCTTTTCAATGGGGTGGAGGCCTTGCCGATCTATACGATGGCCAAGGTAAGTCACAGAAGGTTGCCGAAGCTTGCATTTGTCAATCCTAAGTTTAACGCCATGCTCTCGGAACCGCTCCAACACTCTCTTAAGCTGCTCTCCGTTATCACTCTTGCCTTCTGACACTAGCACGTCGTCAAGGTAGGCTTGAACACCCGACAGCCCGCCGAGTACTGCATCCATCTTTCTTTGAAAAATGGCCAGTGCGGAAGCTATTCCAAACGGAAGTCTGTTATACCGGAAAAGCCCTCGGTGCGTGTTAATGACGCACAGCCCGCTGGACGCTTCGTCAAGGGGCACTTGATTGTATGCATCTTTTAAATCCAAGATGCTGAAATATTCGCCTCCGTTTAAGCTTGCGAACATGTCCTCTATCACCGGAAGAGGGTAATGCTCCACCTCACATGCCGGGTTAAGGGTAGCCTTAAAGTCACCGCATATCCTCACACTCCCGTCCTTTTTCAAAACGACCACAATAGGTGTAGCCCATTCTGCATGTTGCACGGGCGATAGAATACCAAGTGACACCAGTCGATCAATTTCACGAGAGACCTTATCGCGGAGGGCGTAAGGAAGAGATCTGGGCTTACAGAATTTCGGTGTCGCTGTCTCCTTGAGTTTTAGGCTGGCTGGTGGACCCTTGATTAGTCCAAGGTCTGTCGAGAAAACATCCTCGAACTCGCCGAGCAGTCGGTTCAGCATAGGGTCGCTTGGCTCGGCGCTTGCTGTAGGGTCCGGCTCAGTCAGGTCTCCAATGGGAACGCCCGTCTTGCTAAGCAAAGCAATGAGGTCGCGGCCACATAGGCTGGGTCCTGCACAGTCAAGCACGATGAGCGGGCAAGGCACAGATACACTTTTATACTTCACTGGGAGTTCGAGTTCCCCCAACACCGGAAGCTGTCCCGAGTAACATGACAGCTTGATTCGTGGTGGTTGTAAGCGCGGCCACTGTGCGTGGTGTCGATCGTACACTTGGCGCGATACGACGCACACTGGGGAACCCGTATCCACTTCCATGGCAAGGTCTACGTTGCCCCATCGAAACGTGCGGCGTATGGGTGGTTCCAAACCGTTTTTTCTTCCCGAAATCAACGTCCAAACGTGTGCCCTATCCAGGTCGTCGTTGCTAGACGTGCTTTCAACTGTCGTTGTCTTTACACTCACTGCCCGCCTTCCCACCTTTGCATCAGTTCGAGCACTGTAGCATTTCTTTGCCAAATGACCGCGCCGCCCACAGTGATAGCAGCGTGCGTTAACCCAGTGGCAGGCGTTATCGTCGTGCTTTGTGCTTCCACATCGGCCGCAGTCATGCGACGCGCCTAGTGTGCGATTACCTCGAGAGGGCGAGCGATGATGGGCTTGCATTTTTAGCACAGTCGGCGGCTCTGCACTCATATCTTTTACATCGCTGTCGGTTGCCTCGGCTGCAATGGACATTGATTCAGCCTTCTCGAGGGTTAAATCTTTATGTGCCAGTAACTGCTTGCGCAAGTTAGTTGAGCGTACGCCGCAAACAATCCTATCCCTCAACATCCGGTTCAGCGCACTTCCGAAGTTGCAATTGTCTGCTATGCGCCGTATTTCGACTAGGAATGCGTGCATCGACTCCCCTTCTTGTTGGCAACGGGTGAAAAACTTGTAGCTTTCTGCAATCTCGTGACGCTTGGGATCGTAGTAGTCATTTAATGCTGCGACCGCTTCGGCGTAAGTAAGGGAATTCGGCGTCCGAGGTGCAATTAGCCCCGCTAGCACTTGCACAGTCTGCGTGCTGAGTGCTGCCACCAGAAGTGCTCTCTGCCTTTTGGAGTCAGTAATGGCATTTGCTTCAAAATACGCTTCAGCCCGAACAAGGTATGGTTTCCACTTATCTCTTGTGTCGTCGAACACTGGGAGCTGGAGGCTGGTCATGGTCGCCGGTACTTGTTGCGGCAGGCCGTCGGCTCCAACTTTCACGGCAGCATGGGTGGTTTCCGGGCTCGTCGCCACTGTCGTAACTCAGGCGCGTGCAGCTAAGCAGCAAGGACGATGGTCAGGCAGTCAACGAACAGCGTTTATTGTCCGCAGCATGGTTATATACATTGGCATAAGGAGAGGGTGAAGGGAGGGGGAAAGGGAGAATAAAGGCGCACAGGGCCCAAACGAAATGGTGCGCGCGCAGCTGGTTTTGCTGGCGTTACAAACGAAACAAATACAACAAAACTAAAGAGGGGCCCGAAGAAAACAAAGATAATGTTAGGCGGTCCGGTGAAAACGCTGAATTAGGGGACTAACAATAAAGCCACCCCTCCCCCTATGCTTCTCTGATTGACCAAAAAATAAGGTTAGGTTGATTCGCAATTATCGTTAGTCATTTGTAACACATGCACGGCAATCACAATGCCGAAAAGCTTCAAGCAGAAATTCAAAATATTTCAGTAATAACTTGCGGGCCTAAAACACGAATAAACTACTGCACGCGACCTGAAAAGCATCACGAGACTTGAGTGGTACCACAAGATCCAATAAACTTTAGATATAGAGAGGGTGGACACGCCCACACGCACGCATTGCTCATCTCCCAATATTAAATTCGAAGCATTGCAGTAGTTGTCCCAGCAAGATGTGTTACCATCAGCTTTAGGACTGACCACTCCACGGCATCTACAACAGCGGAACTAGCTGCTTTGCGTGCTGCACTTTGTGTGGTCAATCAGGAACCACCGCAACAATGGTCGATTTTCAGCTACTCAAGGGCTGCCCTACAATCTGTGCTCTCAGCAATACGTTGTGGTCCGTACAAACAGCTTGTTTTCAAAATTCGATGCCTCCTCCACACTTCACAAGAGAAAGGGGATCATGTGACGTTTCAGCTGCCAAGTCACTGCGGCATCATAGGGAACGAACATGCCGATACTGCCGCGCGGGCAGCCCTTGAAGGAACACGAGAAGAAGCCATACCCCTTTCGCGGAGCGATGCTGCGAGTAATCTTCGACGACTTGCGCGTGAAATCACGTTTTCACTATGGTGCCCACCAAGCATCGATGCGAATCGTCAACACCACCTGTCCTCTTTGATGACTCTCCGCATGCCCACTGGACTCGACCGAAGAGAAGCCACCCTTCTTCATCGCTTATGGCTAGGAGTGGCATTTACAAAATCTTACTCCTTTGTCATAGGAATGGCCGACAACGCTCTCTGCGATCCCTGTCATGGCGAAGAGACGCTACACCACATCCTGTGTGACTGTCCGCTGTATGCCATCCAGAGACAGTCACTGGCATCCATTTTTGCGCGCATCGACAACAGCCAAATGTCTGTGGACACTATTCTGTCAAGTGCCCGAGAGAAGACATTGCAACAGAAGGCGACAAAAGCTCTGTTAAAATTCCTACGCGACACGGACTTGAACAAGCGGCTGTAACAGCAATGTCACACACCGCGAAAAACAAGACTGGACTATGAGTGTGAGCGCGTGTGCTGCCGAAAGTTTTGAGTTTGAGTTTGAGTTTAGTTAACCACGTGACAAGTACACGAAAATACACTGTATACGTGGTTTGGTGCGAAGGGAAAAAAGCTGTATTTCACAGCTTGACTGGCCCCTCCACCCAGAAAAAAATCTAAACTACAAGTTCACAAAATACAAAAATTACAGGCAGCGGAAAGCGACTATACAAAAAGAAACACGCATGTGGCCCATGACAGCAAATAATAGAATGACAACTCTGAAATACATACAAAAATATGCATTTACAAAGCAATGTATGGAAGAATAAAAACGGAATAACCATTACAGAAATCACCAAACATTCATTTACAACACAATCAGCACATCCAATTTAACATTTCAGTTTTAGACAAAACGCAGATTATCAGTTGTTAGTTTCCATTTGTTCATCACACTTGGAAGGCGGTAACGTAATGTTTATCCCTCTTCCCTCTCTGCTCTCTATCTTTCATCTTCCCCACCCCCCTCCCATGCACAGGGTTGCAAACCGGCTGCCTATAGGCTGGTTAACCTTTCTGGCATTTTTTTCCTCCCATTTTCCTTCCTTCATTTTTTAGCGACCTTCGACGACTTTCAGCGTATCTATCTATCTAGCCGCCTACGACTTTTAGCTCTCCTGGTCGTTTCGATAATGGTATCAATACCAAAGTTGGTATGGCATAACATGACTGTATGAAAAACATATTTGACTGGTCATAACATGAAAATCATGACATGTATGTCATGAACGTCATGACTTACATTTCATGGTCTTGTAGCACTTGCGGTGGTTTCGTTCACATGACATGTTGAAAAACTGGCATCGTATAGTATGATTGCATGGCGAACACAAGCGATATACTTAACATGAAAATCATGACACGCGTGTCATGTAACAACATGACTACATGCCACGCTCATGGTGTGCTCGCGGCCGTTTCGGAAGCCTCACATATACTAAATTTGGCATTACGAGACGTGAATGGATGAAGAAGCTATGATACTGGTGAAAGAATGATAAACATGACATGTATGTCATGTAACAACATGACCGCATGCTACACTCATGATGCGCTCGCGGCTGTTTCGCTAGCTTCACATGTACCAAACTCGGTATTACGCGATGCGAACGGACAACATAGGTAAATGACACATCCAAACATGATAATCACGACATGCGTGTCATGTAACAGCATGACTACATGCCACACTGATGATGCGCTCGCGGCCGTTTAGCTAGCTTCACATATGCCAAGTTTGGTATTACGTGAAGCCAATGGATGACGAAGATATGTGACTGGTGCAAACATGATAATCATGACATGCGTGTCATGTGAGAGCATGACTACATGCCTAAGTCAAGGCGACAATACATTTTGACGTGACGCGGTGCGCGTGCTCTCCGGCATTTATTTCGTCGCGTCACGCTGGTGTTGCCACGCCAGGCGCCGGTCCTGCCATATACTCGCAGGCGCGCCTCGTTGCTTTGACGCATGCGCGTTTCAGCGCGTCCGGCGGCCCTCCATAATGAAAATAGGGAGACGCAGTGTTGTCTTGGTAACGCATCGGCACTAAATGCAGCATGTCGCATTTCACGCCAGTTGCCGTCGGGCGGCGCCGACGCACGATAGCCGCGCCTGGCATCAGACTATACAGTGCTCGCGTTTTTCTAACGAAGCGTCGCTGTGCCCAGTGTGCTCGAGCGTGGACGCTACATGGGAGTATACTGAGCCCTTCATGATGCGCTCGCGGCCATTTTGCTAGCTTCACATATAACAAATTTGGTGTTACGTGACGTCAATGAATGACGAAAGTATAATGACAGGTGGAAGCATGATAATTCTGACACACGTGTCGTGTAAGAACATGATAACATACCACGCTCACAGCGTGTTCGCGGTCGTTTCGCTTGCTTCACATATACTAAATTTGGTATCACGCGACGTGAACAGATAACGAAGGTAAACGACACATCCAAACAAGATAATCATGACACGGAAGTCATGTACGGCATCATTTACACCCATCTCGTAACGTTGTGCTGATTTTAAAGAGACATATCAACATTTCTCATTCGTGCATGCCTCGCATATCATCGATTCCCACTGTACGTGGGATATGCCAGTTTTTATTGTAATGAAATGAATCATGTAGCAAAACCTCTCCCGTGTGCCCATTTCATCGGTAAGAACATGAGTGAATAAACATCCAGGCACACCATAGAAAGAGAATACAAAAAAAAGAATGTTCAGTAGCAAATGCGCAGTAAAACCAGAACCGAAATATGATGAGACGGAGAGCAGCCAGCATAAGGCCTTATATGTAGTGAGCGAGTCCAAAATGGAAGCACTGGGTCACTGCTGCATGCTGTGGTTATCCCTACCGAAAGGAGTGTCAGAATCCTGCCACGTATCTGACTCGGACACGATTTTGACTCCTCCGCACTTGTCCACACACCGCCACTTTGGCAAGAAAAACCTGCTCCCGCCGTAATGATTATCCCTCCGTCAAGCCGACTACTGAGAGAAAAAAAAAAGGGGGGGGGGGGGAGTAGACTTTGCAAACAGAAAAAATGTTCATTCTCTTTCGTTGGGAGCTCGGTTAAACTTCTGACCATGGTTGGCGTCCATCCTACCCCCCTTCCCCC